ATATACCCGTAAGGGATTCCCTGTGCTGTGTCATTGTTGTAGTGTGGAATTAAGAAGGCTTCCACTCTATAACACTACTTTTATCTTTGTAAAATTTATCCAAACTCTAGTACACAGCTTTTCTAACATTTTTTTTATTATTTTATACTAACTACTACTTAGAACTGATATAACTTTTCAAATTACCAATCTAGATAACTTAGTATAATATACTTTTGTATTTTTTTTCTTTAATAATTCTAGTAATCTGATTGGTGCATATACTTTTTTTACATATTTGTTATTCAGTTTATCTGATCTGTTCTTTTAAAAATATTTTATAAGCTTTTATTAGTTTTATAGCACTATTAAAAGTTTGTATTATCTCTTTACTTAGAATTTCTAAATAAGTTTTTAACTTTTTAATTCTTTGTTTTTTGCAGTTAATGGTTTTATTATGAGTTTGCATTGAAGTTTTATATAACACTAATTATTAATATTTTTATATATATATATAATGTTACATTTTGTATAAATGTTTTAAGATTTATTTAAAATAATATAAGTGAAGGTTTCAGATATACTAAGCTAACTAATTACAAGACAATTACTATAATATAAGTATAATTTTCAAAATTCATCATCTATAGAAATTAAACACTAAATTTGCCACTTGAAGATTAACAATCTATTCACTTTACTAGGTCATCACATTCTATTTATTTTTACAACTTAACAAGAACTTTATTACAATTATTTATAAAATATCTTTTAGTTTAAATACTAAAAAAAAGACAAGGCTGTTACAAAAAAAACAAAATTTAAGCCTTTTTTAAATTATTACAGTTATTTTTGTTTTTTTTTTTTATTATTAAGATGATTTCTTTGGTTTTTTGACTTTTATTAATAACTTTTTTTAATAATGTGATTTTATAAACTACTATAAGAAGAATGTACAATTGGCTATACATGTATCTTTTTTTTATTACATATTTAAGAAGTCTGCTTAAAGATTTTTCACTAATTGTCATATCTAATATTTCTGCTTAAGTATTCTATTTTAAACTCTTTAAACCTACAACTTGTATTAATATTACTAGATTATATTCAGATTATCATCTCAATCTTAAAACTATTTTATCTATATATTTGCTTCTTAGTATTTTATATTTTTTAATTTTATTAATAACAATTTACTTTATATAAAATCAAAATATTTTTTTATATCTTATTATAATATTTTTCTGTAATTTGATTTATTGTTGTTATTGATTAAAAAATTATTAGAAAAAGTTATTAAAAAATAAAAAATTTTAATTATTTTTTTATATTAAGTTTTTTGTTTATTTATTATTATAATTTTAAGAATAATTTAAATAAGCTTTGATTATTCTAATAGATTTAGATTACAGATAAATTAGTTTAAGTTTTATTCTTAAATGTAATTTTTAATTTATTTGTATTGTATAAATAGTAACTGTATAGTTAGCAGTTTAATGGTTAACTCTAACTGCAAATGTTGACTTTAACTATAACATATATATATAACTATTTTAAATTACTAATAAAAATATAAGTAAGACCTTATATAAATACCAAAAAAAAACAACTTTAAAAAGTATAGAAATGGTAAATAAAAGCTTGCTAAAACAGACATTAAAACAAACCAAATTATATTTGCTACAAAATTTGCAAATAAGTTTTGTTTTATTATTATTCTGTTAATATTAGTTAAGTATAAAAACATTATTTAGATAAAATTTGATTATATTTATTATTATTATATATCTTTATTTTTATTAATAAATAAACTTGTATTTTTTTCAGATTTATTTTATTTTAATATATCAATAAAATAATTTTAGTAACTAATTTCATATAAATAATCATGTTTAATCATATATACTTTGGTTTATATATATTTTTTGAATTTATTTTAGAGCAATACTATTTGTACCTTTCATTTTTGTTATTTATACGTATTTCTCTTTTTAGTAGTTGGTTTAGAAAAATGAACATTGCTATTTATTCAATTTTGTTATTTGTACTCTCTTTTATATAAATATAAGTTAATTTTATATTTTGAGTTATAATACGTATGAATATGCAGACTATATATTATCTTATAATTATACTACATAATATTTGTTAAATATTTATTTTATAGAAGTAGAGTATAAAAAGTTTTAATCGATCACTCCTCCGCGATATGCACTGTATTTCTTAGATCAAGACAATTTTTTTTTAAAAAAGGTATTATATTTATTACTGTATAAATTTCTCATAAAGTATTATGAATTATGAAATGTGCATGAAGATTTGTTTCAAATTTTCGTATTTTTTGACTTCACTAACACCAAATCATTACAATATATTACCAAAGAAATTTAAATGAATCCTTTCAAAGGTTTTCCACGGAATTTTTTTTTTAATATTGGTTCACGATCATGACAATTACATCATGAAGTAAAAACATTTTTAAACAATTAAAATCAAACGATGATCTTTAAAATCGCGTTTTAAAACATTTGCCATCCCTAACGTATGTCTACAATCAATTACTATCGAATGATGTTTTGACCTTTTTTTATACTATTCTAGAAATTATGAATGTCATCAGTTTTGATACTTCAAGTCAAATATTCTTATAAATTAAATTTCTATTGTTTTTTTCGGTAAATAAAAGTTAATGTTTCATTTTTAACTATATAAAATCTTTCTTTTTTTTTAATTTACAAATAAATAATCTACAATTCATCATGATTAATCTCAGAACTATTCTTCTCAAGATCAAAACAAACAGCTGGAGTAAGCATCTTCAGATGATACTCGCATTTTTCAGGTTCAGAAACTGATAGGATTTCATTATCTGCTCCACATTCAAGATACACCTACATATTTAAAAATGTTTTTTTTTTTTTTGTTACTGAAATCATGAATAGAAATTTGTTTATTGGTTTCATTAATAAATAAGATACTTAACCTTAACGGATCGAGCTGGTCCATTCCAACAATGAGCTCCATTTTCATAAAGCATTTGAGTATAGTGTTGTGGATCATCTTTTGATTCGGCCCCAATCCACTTTTCAAAATTACTGTATAATAATGATATATATTACAATAAGGATAAAATTTAAATGACATAAGGTAATTATATTTAAAAAGGTTATACCCTAAATCTGTTGATGTATGATCTTTGTTACTCTTTTGCGTTGCACTGCCGAACATACATAAAGTGTATGTATATCTAAAATATATAATAGTTCAAATTAAGTCAAATTAAGTCAGCTATTATTGTACATATTAAAAACGCACAAAAAAAAATAAAAAAAATACGCACTCTCCAGAATCATAATTAAAGCATTCATCATCTAATTTAGCAAATTCATCTTTCAACCCGTAATTTAGTGATAATTTGGAATTAATTTCATCAATACTGTCCTCTATATCTTTTTGTTCTTGTTCAGCTTCTTCGAATGCACTACGAGTAGCGGATAATTCTAGTTTGCGCCAAAAAAAAAATATAAGTGTTAGTTCATTATAGGAATTTTTTATTTAATTATATTGGACAAATGATATTTTATGCAATGCTGGTCGTTATGCGGATTACCTTTTGAGGTTCTGTATGAATTATAGGAGCGATTGTTTTTATCATAACTTTGTAATCCAAATAACTCCAGCACACCATTTTTAATTTCCCATAACATCTCTGAGAATTGTTCCCAATATGAAGGTTCTGGTTTAACGAATAATCAAATTCAATAAGACAAACGTATTATTATTTATTTTTATTTTTTTCTGTTTTGCGGTTCCTTTGCATAGCTATTTTATATTGTGTGTATTGAAAATACTCGCCACTCTGTTCCTGAGTCTGCGGTTCGTCTTTTTCGTCTACTACTCTATCATCACCGTCTTCATCTTCGTCTCCACTTTCCGTTTCTTTGCTTTTAGTATATTCTTCCAGAAATTCATCATAGGCTTTAATTGCAGTTTTAACTGCCATATCATGGTAGTTTTGATTATGATTGTTTTTCATATCCTTGAGAATTGAAAGTAAAGTATCAACTTTTTCGTGAAGACTATTTATATTTTCTTTCAATGAAGAAATGCGCTTTTGATATTTCTTTATGCGTTCTCGATTGACTATCAATGTTAATTAATAGCATTAATATTAATAAATACATTCAATATATTAATATTCAATAAATAAAATAAAGATACGAAGGAACCTTTAGACCCTGACTGCTCTGTATCTGTTTTCCTAGCTTCAATCTTTTTCAAAGCCGCTAATTAACCAATAAAACAATATATAGATATATTTATACTATTCATAATCTAAAACATAATTTTACAACCAAAAAATTACCTTCACGCTCTCTAACTCTAATCTTTGCGGCCTCAAGTTCAATTTTTAGTCGATTTAATTCAGCTTCACGTTTTATCCTTAACTTTTTACCTTCTTCTATATAACTATTTCTTATTCGTATGCCCTATTGATAGAAAATGTTTAAAAATTGAAATGAAATATAAATGAATTTAACTTAGACGTACCTGAGTTCGCAACTTGTTTAATGCATCCAACTTTTTATTATATTCTATACTAGCTTCTTTACATGTATTAGGACACATTATTTTTCCATCGTATTCATCTGAGCCATCACAACATTCTGGCTCTTTAATACAAAATAAAATTGAAATTAATAATATGAAATTAAAGAAATTATCAAAACTTTGATATATTACCACAAACACCATCATTAATACGGCTAGATGGTATAGAAGATGGAATGTGTCCTTCATTTCTACAATAGAATTTACCATTAGAACATGCCGATGTACCTAAACATTAAACCAGAATTGATTGTCAAGCAAAATCATTAGAATGAAAAAAAAAAAACATTTAAAGATAAACCTTACCCGGTTCATCTGATCCATCTACACAATCACAGAAGTCATCATTAATAGCTTCGTACAGTATTGTAGCAGATCCATCTAAACAAGTCCAATTAGGTCCTTTAGCCTCGTAAAGGTGTTTCTCTAATTAATTAATAAAAAAAATTAATAATCATTATATGTAAAATTTATATAGGAAAAAAAAAAAACACAAAATTCACTTACTGGACTCCTCAACACCTAGAAGTTTCGAAAGGTTTCCTACTTTGGCGTGTACACAGATTATAAAGAGGCTTAAAATAATAATTTCTAGTGTTAATTTATAAATTGAAGAACGATTAATTGGACCGGTTAAAAAAAGTGTATGTGCCATAATATGTAATCAAGAAGAAAGTAGGTCGATCCGGTTTGACACTTGTTAATAGAAAGTATCAACATTCTTATATCGTTATCGTGAAAATACGCATGTCAGTTTCTGATTGGGTGGAAATAATAAAATACATATTACCTAAATTAACGTTAATATATCTAACGCTAACACTAAAATGAAATTATCGTTATGTATCGAAGTTTCTGTCTTAAGAATAGAGAGCATGGAAAAAAAGATTAGGCGTGCTCATATGGACATGCCTTTAGTTGAGGCATACCCAATAGACACATCATTTATTAGCCAATAAAAATACACATCATATGTCACATGACAATGGAACCCTAAACGTGTCAAAAGAAATATACTTTAGTGATGTAAAGTCAAGAGGTTTGATAAGTTCGATGAAAAGCTTTGTTGACCTATACTTCGCCATTAATTCATCCAAAAAAAATTTTTTCATCAAGTCATTTGATGAATCTGTATTTACAAGGCTCGTCCGTCGTAAGGAAGTAGGTTTGGGACAAAGCATATGCGATAATTGCCGTTCACAAGGACATGACTCATCGTTGTAAGAAAATGGGCTTAGGGTAATTATTGAATACCTGTTTTGATGTCTGCGACAAGGAATAAGATCTTACAAATTAAATTCGTGATATAGATTGATATGTTAGAACAAGATCACATGAATAACTATGCGATAACTTACGTTCTTGACAAGATACTCGTGTGTTTGAAGTAATAAAATGTTGGGTTTTTTGGTTGTTTTTTTTTTTTTGCTAGAGCGCAGAAAGCGGTTTTATAGGAAATTTTTGAGTTACCGAAATTTATGAGTGATAAGAAAAACCTGTGAATCATGCTTTCTGGATACATACCTGATACTTTTAGTAGAAATATAAAAAAAAACCAATTAAATATTTAAGATTTTAATGTCATTCGAATCTTTTTCATTAAAGTAATCCTAATAATAATAAAATAATAATTGTTAAAAGTAGATATTAAAAAAGCATGATTTACAGGTTTTCCTTGACTATCGTTCATATACTGTATATAAATATATATTTAACGAATTTAGGGTTGCATGTTATCTAGCTTTTATATTATAACGTTTATTCTTTACACCGTTCCACTATCTTAGTGTAGCACTGTCCAACAGCCCGCTCACGATTAACCATATAACTTGTACTTAAACTTACCCGTAAGATGATATAAGACAGTAAACAACAGTTAGGATGTTAAAATTCCGATTCGACTTCAGAAGTTGATTTCATATGGCATTCAAGTTAAAATGCAAAAACATAACTTTATTAGAAAACTTTAAATGGTTGCAATTTATGCTTTCACCTTATTAAGCACTATTGGTACCAGCCATAAATTTATTATTGGTACTTAAATCACTTTTTATAATATATATTACAGTATTAGGCAATACAAATTTAATATCTTGGTTTTCATAACATAAAATTTTTAAATAGGCCTGGCGGCTGACCAGCTTTTTTTTAAATTTTATATATATAAATTTTTTAAAAACCCATCTGGTTATTACAGCTGTTATTATTCCTGGCCGAGTGATTATTCTGCCGATTCGATAAGTTATTGATTTCGGCATGATCAATGTAACGTTTATTATTGTACAAAGATGGTCTAAAACCAGGTACGTATGTAGATGTTACGTAATCGATTTGCAGTGACAATTATTAATCGAGATAACCAATATTGATACAGTGACTTCCATTTGTTTTGCATCACCCTAATAGACGAATATTAAAATCGAATAATTTTTTCAATAAACAATTAATCATTATAAATTTTATTTATTTTATTTATTGAATCCAAACTAATACAAAAATATTGTTATTTGTTAATTTTATTAAAAAAAAATAAATCGAACAACAATTTTATTCAATTTTTAGCGATGCATTTCTTTTGATCGTTTTTACTAAAATTTAAATTTTGCAAAGTACAAAAAAAAAAAAAAAAAAAAAAAACAACAAGAACTTTAGTTTTAAAAAGTTCACCATTTAGTGTACTCCCCCTTGCATTAAAAACATTAATTACTCGTTGTGGCATGCTTTCAATAAGCTTGTCAAGATACTCTATATTCAAATCAACCCAAACCCTTTGGATTATTTCCCAAAGCTCATCCGAATCAGAAATCCCTATAGATAACCGCCTTATTCGTCGATCAATTTTATTCCATAAATTTTCTATAGGGTTCAAGTCAGGCGAATAAGGCGACCAGTCAAGTACCTCAATGTTATTATGATAGAACCACTCCTTAGTCTCAGTAGCAGTGTGTTTTGAATCGTTGTCCTGTTGGAATATTATATCCCTTTTATTGATTCTATGCCATCGTAAGGTTCCTAGAAGATCCTTAGTTAAAATTTGGTGGTATAGATCCCCATCCATTGTCCCATAGATTCGTACAATATTTTCAACTCCAAAGGAGGAGAAACATCCCTATCCCTTAGATTGTAGACTTTTGCAGGCAAATTTGCCTGCATAATTGTATTTTTTTGACTCTGATCTACTTTTTTAAAATATTAAAGTATTTAAATAAAATTTGGTATAATAATATTTGAAAATAAGGATTACTT